TGCACCTCTACACATATTATATGTGTATACTGTATGGCGTTAGGAAGTACTCGGATGATAATGACAGAAGGCAATAAGAGTTACTTACATATCAGCGGTAGAAAAGTATTCCGACTATTACCAAGAATGTGTAACCAGCGCGCAGTGTAGGTTACCCTGATATTGACTGCTGCATAAGTCGTCTTCTTGCGACGTCCGGTTTGATCAGGCCAGTAGGATTCAAAATCGATTCCAGCATCGTATTAAACGCGTACTAAGCGATTCTGGAATCGATTATGAGTTTCAGGATCGGGTGATTTGAACGACGCCTACGCGACTTGAAGTCTATTATCAACAAGAACATGGCTAGACTTGCGTGTTAGTTAGGGAGTTTGCACGCTTCGTGTTGCCAACACGAACATTTATCAATATACAAGATGATGCACCCCCTGGCAATTTCACAGCACGTGCGAATACCAGACAAACTCGGGTACCATTTGGAAGCTCTCGACGAGCTCTTTTTAATTGTATTCAAATCACTTCCATACTTCAAGTTCATCCGGTACTCCCATACGCTGAAAAATTACGAGTAGTGGACCTATTATTGCATCACCCTGTTAGTGACCCATCTAGCTTTGAGAAATAACATTCCCCAGGGTTTGATAACAATAGGGAGAATGTTCCTAATGTGATGACATTTACATGGGAAACTGATTGAAGTCTGTGTTCCTAGCCATAGGTATAAAATTCAAAATGAGTTCTTCCCCCGGGAACATTATAGGTTTCTGGATGATTCCCTGTCCCCTGTATGTGAGATCGAGTGTAATACGCCGTCATAACTATGAACGCAAACTATATGCTGCGAGTAGTATAATCTCCAATGAACTAGTCGATGAGCAATGAAACAAACAAACGACAGTTATCAAATAGGTGCAATCAAAGATGACGACGACAACAACAACACAGTAGTTAGCTTGCAGTAGTCGAGTCGACTCTTGTCCACACGCCGCCTATGTTGCCGCTTCTCGATTTCCATACGATTTCACAAAGAGATGGTAGACCTTCCGTCTCTACTAACTGTTCCGACGACGACGGATATTCAAACGAATACAACCCAGAGGTACCCCATTTCACTATCACCTGAAAAAATATTGAGAAAATCACCGCTAAAATTCCCGGAAAAACACTCACTGTGTCAGAATCCCCTGTCTTGGTAGTAACGACCAAGGGCTTCGACACGCCCTTCGCCCCAGTCTCGGCGTCAATCGCAAAAGAGTCTTTCCCTTCAATGAGGTACTGCTTCCCTTTTTTATCAACATAAAGTCCCTATGAAATCGATCAGTATAATTACAACAAAAATCTCCCCTACCTGGAGGGAAGCCAACACTGCTTCAATGACGCCTTCATCTAGAGCAAGACCCGACTCTACCGATTGCGTCGCTGCGACATCCGTAGATCTCTACACTAGCCAATATAAAAACACCAGCGGTTTCTATCCCCCTACCTGAGGTGAGCTCTTCCTCCGTTGGCGAGAGGTCACCACTGCTGTTGTTGTCTTATTATCGCCCTTCGCAATGATACCACCCTCGGGCTGAGCGTACCGACCAGTACCAATAACAGCGCCATAGAGAGCCTCCTCGTCGTCCGTCCCTCTGAGGACATTCCTGACCACAACGTTGCTTCACGATCGAGCTCATCCAGCCGTGCTTGGTAACGGATATAACCTTTTTGAATTCGTCACGATCTCTTCTCAACAGCGTCATCCTTCTCGACTTGAGGTGGGAGAATACAAGAGGTTGAAATTGAGAATTTCAATCTCAAATTCGACGAACCAAAACTTGTTTTTGCCCGAAATCCGAGAAACTGGTCAAATTCGAGGAAAAAAATTTATCTTCGTGGACAAAAACAGAGTAAATTCATACACGAAACTTATAATTTCGGAAATATGACCGCAAACTCACAAAATACAATATTATTTTTGACTCAGGAAAGTTCACTTTCAGTTGCTTTACGCTGTGTCGGAACGTAGTGAAAGAGAACTTGAAAAGTTCACTTCACATATATACGTACTGATAACCCATGGAGAGTAACAGAGTCGGATTTACGCGAAACATTCTCTAGACTACCTCAGTAGGTTAAGGTAATGGGTTACATCTCTGACCACCCAGGATCGAATCCCATAGTCCATACTTCTCCATACATAAACTCCACTGTAGTTTCACCCGTTTTACGTGAAGTGGCGTAAAACTCGGTGAAAAACGCGATATTCGCGGTGATATGCACTAGTCGTAAAATATGTTTTTCACTAGTGTTTTTCATATCACGACCGCCCGTGAAACTCCAATGATCACTGATAATCCCAAGCCTACTTTCCCCGAAGAGATTCCTCCTTTTCGATCTCTCTCGCTATCGTCTCTGCCTTCGACCTCTGCGCACTGCTGAGGTTCTTCGGCACATCCGTAGTATACAATTTCCAATTGAAGCTCGTATGAACTCTGAAGAAGATTCACAATAAGTCCATATGTACAGGATGCTGCAAAAAGGGCACACAAAGGGCGAGAGAAAATACGGCAGAGTGCTGACAGAGTTTCCGGCTATAGAAGGTCCAACGCTTCGCAGTACTCGCAGAAGCCCTTGATATAACCCGCTAGACAAAGCCTTGTATAGATCACCCTGTAGTATTAGCAGTAAAACCCAACTCTGATACCACTCCATCCACAACTTCCAACCCGGTCACTACCCAAACCGTTCCTCGTTCACTCTGAACTGGTCCCATTCAAGGCTATCAGTCGCGGATAAATCCGCAGTAGCCGCCTG